TTCTGGGTTCCAATGTGCTTTTCTAATAGAAGTAGGGCTGGACCTATTTTTAAAACCTTCACTCCTTTTAAACTGGGGTTTAGACTTTTCATAATTTCTATTATGTAGATAAGCACCAGCAATTTCTGCAGCCATTAAGACTGAAGGTTCTCTATCACAAACAGCTGCTCTAATATTTTCGGAAACAATGCCCAAAAATTGTTCCAAAGTGACTAAATCCAAAAATGTCTCAAACTTCCCATGAGCCTTTGCTCCCACAACCCACTTTTAAACAAAACCTATTAATTTATGAGCACATTCCACAAAAGTACAGTCATTAGACATTTTAAAATTTTCTAAACTTTACCCTGCAAGATTCAGGAGTGACCTTGAATCACTTTAACACAGGATCATTAAACAGCACATAATCTGATGCTTCTTGCGCTTTTCCAGTCAACCTGGTTAAGCATGACAGGCATTCATTGTTCATCTGAGTCCTTGTGAAGACTGGATAGGTGTTCAAAGGTAGACAAAAATCCTTTCCCAATTTTTGCTGTTGTGGAGGGGAGATGGAGTTTCAGGCTGCGGCAGATTCTTTTCCTTTTCCTTTTCCAAGACTTGGAGCTGAAGGTTGGCAGCTTCTAGTTGTTTTTGATGAGCTCTTTCCTCAGCAGCCATCTGTTCCATCCACCTTTGATGAGCTTCTTATCTTTTGCTTTTCTTGCAATTGAAGATCTGCCAGTTTTTGTTCATGTTCAAATTGTTGTTCATTTTCCACTGCTAGCATTCCCACTGCTACTGCTTCTGCTTCAGCAGCTGCATTTGGGGCAGGTGAGGGTGGAGACCCTGCTTTCTGATCATGGGCCACTAACAGATTTTTGAGTTCTTGATCAGTGGCTTTCTTCCTAAAGGATAACCCCTTTTGGGAGCTGTCATAACTATAAAGGGAAGGGTAACAGCTCTCCTGTGTAAAGAGACTCCAAATCCTTTTACCTGTAAAGGGTTAAGAAGCTCGGGTAACCTGGCTGACACCTGACCCTAAGGACCAATAAGGGGACAAGATACTTTCAAATCTTGGGGGGGGAAAAAGGCTTTTGTTTTGTGTCCTTTGTTTAAGGGGTTGTTCGCTCTTGGGACTGAGAGGGACCAGACATCAATCCAGGTTCTCC